ACATGAAAGAATACATAAGGGATATTTTGGCATGAGCAAATAAATGTAAGTCTAACTATTTGTTATTTATTTATTTCTTCATTTTGGTTTTTACTGTAAATGGTCTTTCACTTCCTACAAAATATAACTGCTGAAAATGCACATTTAAGTACATAGTTTTGGCCAGACACAGTGGCTCACACTTGTAATCCCAACACTTTGGGAGGCCAAGGTAGGTAGATGGCTTGAGCCTAGGAGTTTGAGACCAGCCTGGGCAATATGGTGAAACCCTGTCTCTACCAAAAATAGAAAAATTAGTCAGGCATGGTGGTGCCTGTAGTCTCAGCTAATCAGGGGGTTGAGGTGGGAGGATCACTTGAGCTGAGATTGTGCCACTGCACTCCAGTCTGGTGACAGAGTGATACTTTGTCTCCAAAAAAAATAAAAATAGGCTGAGCGCTGTGATTCATGCCTGTAATCCTAGGACTTTGGAAGGCTGAGGTGCTCAGATCATGAGGTCAGGAGATGGAGACCATCCTGGCTAACATGGTGAAGCCCTGTCTCTACTAAAAATACAAAAAATTAGCTGGGTATGGTGGTACCTGCCTATAGTACCAGCTACTCAGGAAGCTGACGCAGGAGAATCACTTGAATCTGGGAGGCGGAGGTTGCAGTGAGCTGAAATTGTGCCACTGCACTCCAGCCTGGCGACAGACTGAGACTCCATCTAAAAAAAAAAAAAAAAAATCAAAAGACAAAGATGAAGATAAAGATGGTTTACAATAAGCTGTCTATAGAGAAAAAGTCATCTTGGTGCAATACCATTAAACCGATTCTTTGAATCTACTTCCAAAATGGGGAAGAACAAATCCTGTTGACATTAGCTATAAACATTTATGTGGATTACTTCACCACTGTCTTCTCTGAGGTAGTGACTAGAAATTCAGAAGTATATTAATTCATACCTTATCATAGCCTTCCAGTTCTCGAAGTTTCTTTATTTCAAAAAGATTGCCTTCCACAGCAAGCAGACAGATCTGGGAATCACTGAGGATGCTCTGTGGAAGCATACTGAGCTCAAGACAATTCTCTTCCAGGCGAAGAATTTTAAGGCGAGGACAACAAGATATCTTTACTGAGATCTGAGATATCTATTGAATAACCACAAAAGAATAACAGGAAAAAACATAAGCACTATATTGGTTACTTTTAGTACATTAAAACAAAACAAAAAATCTTTGACTATTTGTTCTAGTTTTCCCTTCTTTTACCACCTCCATTTTCTCACTGCCTACTCACTCCAGAAGCTTCTGTTATCTAACTTCTGCTACTACACCCCCACTTAAAAAAAAAAATGCTTTTATGAAGGTCACCAGTGGCTTTTTGGGAACAAAATTTTCTGATGACAAAAGCATTATATGTTCATTATAGAAAAGTTGAGAATCACACATTTAAAGAAAAAAGTTTACCTTGAAGCCACCACCCAGAAATAACCGCCATAAACACTGTGGTACGTTTACTGCCAATGTTTTATGTGTACATAGATACTGACCAATTTGCTACCAAATTCAAGGATCCATCATCCTTAGTCCCTATTGCATTTAACTGTACTATCTATCCCTTCCTTCAAACCCCTTCTTTTTGTCCTTTTTGGTTTTTCTATCTTTTGGATTATTTCTTACTTTTTGGCTTCTCTTGTTTTTACAGGCATTTTTCAAGTAGCTGTCCCTAATACTTCATATGTCATCTTCTCTCTAAACTTTGCCTAGAAAGCTCATTCTTTTTTTTTTTTTTTTTTTTTTGAGACAGAGTTTCGCTCTTGTTACCCAGGCTGGAGTGCAATGGTGTGATCTCGGCTCACCGCAACCTCCGCCTTTTGGGTTCAGGCAATTCTCCTGCCTCAGCCTCCTGAGTAGCTGGGATTACAGGCACGCGCCACCATGCCCAGCTAATTTTTTGTATTTTTAGTAGAGATGGGGTTTCACCATGTTGACCAGGATGGTCTCGATCTCTTGACCTCGTGATCCACCCGACTTGGCCTCCCAAAGTGCTGGGATTATAGGCGTGAGCCACCGCGCCCAGCCCAGAAAGCTCATTCATTAAAGTCCATCACTTTTGTTACAACCTCAAGATCTGTATCTACACTCTTATCTCTACTCTGCTCCCATGTCTCCAACTTTCAGGAAGACATTTCCATTTACAAGATTCAACACAGACAATTCAGCATGTCCATTCTCAATAGCACCACTGTTCCTTTAGGCCCTCAAGCTCAATACCAAGCAATTGTCTTTCATTCACTCTTTTGCCCTTTAAATACTAAAAGTCACCCAATTCTTTGATTCTGCCTAGTATCATCTCAGATCATCACTTATTAGAAATTACAATAACTTACTAGCAATGCAAGTTCTCAGACTTCATCCCAGATGTACTGGATCAGAAACACTGAGATTAGGAGCTAGTGATCTCTTTAAACAAGCTTTTGTGGTTATTCTGATGCACACTAAAGTCACAGAACCACTGCATAAAGGCAGTGGCAGAGGTTAATGTGGAGCAAATCCTCAACTAATACTTGCTGCTTAACTGATTCAGTTTTTTCCCCCAAAAAAGCTCTATAACATACAAGAATATCCACTTACGGTAAAAAACATGAGTCCAGTCCCTCAAAGACAGACTGAATTTCATCATGATGTAAAATCACTACAATCTAGAAAAGTAATAACCACATGTATCTAGTGCCTACTTTAATGGACCATGAAGATCCAGAAGTACAGACACTAGAAAACTAAAGGCCATTCAGTCTCACAGTGTCTAATGTTTCATCACTTGTGCGTTTATGCCTAGACAAGAATCTTTGGATTGGTTTTTCGGACAAATACTAATTGAAAGCTTCCAAATTAATGGAAACAATTTTCAAATATTTTAATTAAAGCTGTTGAACAGTGAAATGAGCTATCTCCAGAAAGCCTATCAATTAATGTTCTTCAGCAAAAGCAGGAGACACACTTAACAAAGATGTCAAAATGCCCTACAAAATGAAAAACAAAACTGAATTATCTCTGACCCCCACACTCTGAGAACCTCAATTTATGCCTCATTTCCACACTATATCCCTAACATAGTTCCTGGCTAGTTGGTTAGGGGCATATTTGAGAAGGATTTGAAGAATTCTTCAAGATTTGTGATACAGTAGTTTAACTATTGAAATGATCTCTCCCTGTTACCTACTTTACCCTTCCCAAAACACCTGTAAAACAAAAACATCCAGCATCTCAACTAACTCCATGGCACTTTGCGCTTTTAAATTAGTTCAGCCTATAGAAGAAACCTCTCATCTAGCCTCTGACACTTAGTTCTATGATGGCAGTTTAGGAAACAAGAGGTTAAGAGGTTATCAGGAGACCATAAACCCACACAAATGCTGTAGGAAAAAAACCTTAAGCTCTAGACCTGATTCTGGTTGAGGTTGAGTTCGATGACCTGCAGCTGTCCCACTGTGTCAGGTATACTTCGAATCTGGTTCTTAGAGAGATCCACCACATCCAGATGCCGTAGGGTACAAAGTTGGGGAGGCAGTGCTCCCAGTTGGTTCCCAGAGAGGCTCAGGGTCTTGAGGGCAGAGAGTTGCCCAAAGGTAGACGGCAGTTCTCTCAGGTGATTGTTGTTTAGGCTTAGTGTCTCTAGTTTTTTCAGACTGCATATCTCATCAGGCAGAACAGCTGGCAAAGAAAAAGTTTTTTTAAAACTTAAATCTGATAGAGCTGAAAATACCTTTGATGAAGTTTATTTATAGACTTTATGGCAGCCTGCCTCACCTCTTGTTAATATATGTAGAATTCCCACATGTGCCATTGTTAGGTATTGCATTTTACCAACATAGTCTTTAGAAGGTGAGGGTGCCATCAAAATGCAGGAGAACATTTGTGTATAACGGACTTCTTTGTAAAGAGGCTCAGGCACAATCCTACAGCAATTCTGTGAGATTTGGAAGATCCTCCCCTTCCCATTTCATCCCCAATTCCAAGTTAGGTAGCTTTGTTTACATTACATCCCCAAAATATTCTTCCCTTTCAAGTCCAAATTAACCCAGTAACAATTATTATAACACCCAAGGAGGCTCACAGAGGTAATCACAAGAAGTAGAAAGAAAGCTTCAAGGACTCCAGCATTCTGCAACTTGAGCCCTCCTGCACGGTTCATAACAAAAACAAAAATCAGCTTGTAAGAGAAAACCACCCCTGGTAACAGCTGATCACTAGCAAAAGCTTCCCAGGCAAGAGCCATACTCAGTTTGTTGTTGTTCAGGGAGAGGCTCTTCAGCAGAGTGAACTTTCCTATCAGCAAAGGCGGTAGGCTCTCGATCTTGTTGTTGGACAAGTCGATGGTTCTGAGATTGCTCGTCAGCTTCTGCAAGTCTGCGGGGAACTGGAGAAAAGAGTTCACAGCGTAGAGAATCCCACACCGATAAAGTTCGCCGCCCCCGCCGTCCCTCATCCTTTAAGTTCCCAGGTCGTGTCCCTCCCAGTCTCACCTCGGTCAGCCCTCGGTCCTTAAGCTGAAAGACACCAGTTTTCTGCGCCGTTTCCACATGAGCGCGAAGGGCACTGTTTCCCATCCTAGCGCCGCGGCTGAGGTCCCTGGGGGAAAGAAGCGCAGATGTCACTGCCCTATCCACCCCGTCCGACTACCGGAAGGGTCTCCTGCCCCATCTGTCATCTCCCGCCTATCCCTGGCTCCTGGGGGCCAACCCAGGAGCGACAAGGAAGAAGAGGAAGAACAGACATCCCGACCACCAAGCCCTGCCGCCTTTGCAGCTGTGCGGAGGCCAGGCGCCTCTGGGAGCCTATCAGGGAGCCCCGGACTCGCCTCCCACCGCTCAGCTGCCAGACTGCTCCGCAGGGGAAGACCCAGGACCCGCCGTAGCCGGGACGCACTCCCCTGCTTAGTCCAGGGCGGGAACGCTCTATGACGTCATCGAGCCGCGCCGCGCCGCGCGTTCGCTCTGCGTTCCCGCTCACTCCGGATGTCTTCTCTGGAGGTGCGTCCGAGCCATGGCCACTGCCAATCCCTGGGACCCGGCATCTGCGCCTAACGGCGCTGGGCTAGTGCTTGGCCACTTCGTAGCTTCGGGGATGGTCACTCAGGTGCGTGGAGGCGGCGGTGGCGTCATCAAGGGGTTGCCCACGGTAGCGACAGATTACCGCTGTGAGGTGGCGCTTCTGGCTGCGGGAGTGGTGAGGGTGCTGGTTGGGGACTGTACTAGAGTAATAGAGCCCCTTCCAGGCAACAGCCACGACCGTTCTGCCGTGGGTTCTTGGAAAGCGGGGATTCTGACAGGGTGTTTAGGGTAGACTGTGTTTTGAGTGTCTGGAGGGTAAATTTGTCCCAAGCCGGTTTGTGGGAGATTAGACTGCTGTTACTGACCTTTCTTACCCCTAGACTGTAGTGTAAGGCGAGGTTGGAAAATGCGGGTAGTTCTGCCCCTTGCGGAAAAAGCATTCCCAACAACGCTCGTTTGTGGAAAGTGTTGAATCGTATTTGGGGAGGGAGGTGCTAGGTAGAGAAGAGGGCCAGAAGCTCTTTTTTGGCTTCTTTAAAGGCAAAAAAGAAAAAAAAAGTATTGGCAAAAAAGACCTTGGAATGTGAATAAAGGAAGAGATTAATTTTGAGGAGAGAAAAGAGACATTGACCTTACGAGTCATAGAGTGGCAGTTTTAGGTTGAGCAAGAAGAGCATGTCCAGGGGAAAGGAGCCAACGGAGGGAGAAATTGAACATGTGAAGAAATAATGGAAATGCAAGTAACAGAAGGGCATAGGGAAAGTGGGATCAAGGGCATTGAGAAAAATGGGGTAATAAATTTTGATATAATAGAGGAAGCTGAGTAATTTCACTAAAAACAAAACAGAAAAGTTAAACTGATCTGTGAAAATTAGCACTATATTAGCCGGCGTGGTGGCATGCACCTGTGGTCCCCGCTACTCTGGAGGCTGACATAGGAGGATGGCTTGAGCTCAGGAGATCCAGGTTGCAGTATGACGCAGTCGGGCCACTGTCCTCAGCCTGAGCAACAAAGTGAGACCCTGTCTTTAAAAAAAAAATAGTAAGGCCGGCGCGGTGGCTCACGCCTGTAATCCTAGCACTTTGGGAGGCCGAGGCCGGCGGATCACAAAGTCAAGAGATCGAGACCATCCTGGCCAACATGGTGAAACCCCGTCTCTACTAAAAAATACAAAAATTAGCTGGGCGTGGTGGCACGTGCCTGTAGTCCCAGCTACTCGGGAGGCTGAGGCAGGAGAATTGCTTGAATCCGGAGGCGGAGGTTGCAGTGAGCCGAGATTGTGCCACTGCACTCCAGCCTGGCGCCTGGCGTCAGAGTGAGACTCTGTTTCAAAAAAAAAAAATAGTTCTACAAACATGATGGAAGATATATGGAAAATATGTAACTTTTTATAGTTAGAAGAACATTAGAGACTCTAATACTTTACAGTCTTTTTTAATTTAAGAAACTAAGGCTTAAACAACCAAGAAACTTGCTCATGGTCACTAGACTGTTGAAGGAGAATTAATCTTGACACATTGTATCCCCTCTCAAGATGAACTGTTACAAGAGGCTGTGATACTGTCTTGAAAGATTTTAAGCTTCTGTTAAATACCCAATAGCTGAGTGATGGGGGAGATTCAAGTGGTCCCAGCTGACCAATTTTCCCAGGGGTGACCACAGCACTCCACAGTTTAATCCTTCCTCCTTTCTCTCCTGTGGGTTTTTTTGTTTTTGTTTATGTTTTGTTTTTTTCTTTTGAGATGGAATCTTGCTCCAGGCTGGAGTGCAATGGTGCAATCTTTGCTTACTGCACCTTCTGCCTCCCAGGTTCAAGCGATTCTCGTGTCTCAGCCTCCCGAGAAGCTGGACTACAGGCGCCTGCCACCACACCCGCTAATTTTCATATTTTTAATAGAGATAGGGTTTTGCCATGTTGGCCAGGCTAGTCTCGAATTCCTGAGTGCAGGTGATCCACCCATGTAGGCCTCCCAAAGTATTGGGATTACAGGTGTGAGCCACTGCACCTGTCCTTTGTCTTCTCATCAGGTTACCTAGTACTCTCACTCATATTGTCCAGTTCTCCTATCACTAAAGAGTTTGGCAAACTCATACTAGGAAACATTTTTGAAGGCTCATGCCTGTAATCCCAGCACTTTGGGAGGCCGAGGCAAATGGATCATCTGAGGTCAGGAGTTCAAGATCAGCCTGGACAACATGTCAAAACCCAGTCTCTACTAAAGATATAAAAATTATCCTGGTGTAGTGGTAGGCACCTGTAATCCCAGCTACTTGGGAAGCTGAGGCAGGAGAATTGCTTGAGTCCTGGAGGTGGAGGCTGCAGTGAGCAAAGATCGTGCCACTGTACTCCAGCCTGAGTGACACAGTGAGACCATGTCTCAAACGAAAACAAACCCAACTTATGGTACTTAGTATCCTTCTAAAGAGCATTGGTAGGAAATATAAATGCCTAAACCAAAGGAGTGAGGCACTGGTGAGAGAATTTTAGGCATTGATGGGCGTGAACTGTTTTTTGGGGGTGGTGGTTGTTTTGGGGAGTATCTACTATCTCAACATTAGACAGTTACTGGTTTTACATACAGTTAAGACATGCCGCTCTATAGCTCCTTTATATGGTCTGACAGCATTACTACACAGCTAGTCCCAGTGAGGGAGCTACTTAAAGACTTGTAGGTTGGTTTTACTTCAAGCAAACTTTGTACATAAAAACCTTTATCTTTTTTTGTTTGTTTGTTTTGTTTTCTGAGACAGAGTCTTGCTCTGTCGCCCAGACTGGAGTACAGTGGTGTGATCTTGGCTCACTGCAACCTCAACCTCCTGGGTTTAAGCTATTCTCCTACCCTCAGCTTCCTGATAGGGGGCACCACTATGCCCGGCTAATTTTTTTTGTATTGTTAGTAGAGATGGGGTTTCACCATATTGGTCAGGCTGGTCTCAAACTCTGACCTCAAATGATCCACTCTGCCTCTGCCTCCCAAAGTGCTAGGATTGCAGGCGTGAGCCATCACGCCCCAGCCAAAAACCTTTTCCTATTAGGATTTAGCATTGATTCTTTCAAAATGATTTGTCACATCTTCCCTTTAAACAGCCCATCCCTTTAGTGCACTTTATTTTTTGTGCATTAAAAATTAAGACTGTTGACTTTCTGCTGGCAAGGATTTTTTAAAAATTGAGTGACTCCTAAAATTGTGATTTGATACAGTTTCTAGAAATCATAGCTTGTTTGAACTTCGTTTTTTTTCAGTCCATTAAAGAGTGATTTGGCGAAAGAAAGGTAGGGCTCTCTATGGGATAATGGGGTATTGCTTTAGTTTATTCCCCTAGGGACTGCTTTTGTGGCCTTACATTCTAGATATGTATCTGGCAAATGTGAGTGAGTCTTGGAGTCTTGACCAAAGCTTCATCATTGCTTATTGGCAATTAATAAGATAAGGATCTGGACCTACCAAAAAAATCCACAGCATCTACTAATTCTATTTTCTTAACCTGTGTTCTACCCTCCTCTGCACTTCCCCTTCCATTTGAGAGCCTCTGCTCTTAACTTCTCTGCTATACTGCCTCCCTTTTAATGTCCCTCAGCTAGAATTCAGTATAAAAAGGAAGGGATAGGAAAAAGAAGAAAGGGTGCCCACAGATGACAAATTTATATGTAAATATGGTATACAGTGTTATCAGGATTTTGTTTGTTTTGAGACGGAGTTCCCCTCTTGTTGCCCAGCCTGGAGTGCAATGGCGTTATCTTGGCTCACTGCAACTTCCACCTCTCAGGTTCAAGCCATTCTTCTGTAGCAGCCTCTTGAGTAGCTGGGATTACAGGCACACACCACCACACCTGGGTAATTTTTTATTTTTCATTTTTAGTTGAGACATGGTTTCACCATGTTGGCCAGAATGGTCTCAAACTCCTGACCTCAGGTGATCTGCCTACCTTGGCCTCCCAAAGTGCTGGGATTATAGGTGTGAGCCACCACGCCTGGCTGTTACCAGGATTTTTATATTAAGTGTAAAGGTTCTGGATTTCAGCTGCTTCTTGTGCCTAGCAACAGAAGAAACAGAAATACCATGAATTTCTTGGGATCCTTTCATTTTCAGGTTTCTTTTGCCCTCTGTGGCATGTAATAGCAATACATAATAACAGTAGCTAAAGGAAAAGACTTTTCTGTATTTCCCAATGCCTGATGCTTTTTTCTTTTCTTTTTTTTAAAAATGTGTTAGTAAGTCTCAATCCTCAAATAGTTATAATTTCTATTTATTATAGAAAATAAGCAGGGCCGGGCGTGGTGGCTCAAGCCTGTAATCCCAGCACTTTGGGAGGCCAAGGCGGATGGATCACGAGGTCAAGAGATCGAGACCATCCTGGTCAACATGGTGAAACCCCGTCTCTACTAAAAATACAAAAAAAAATTAGCTGGGCATGGTGGCATGTGCCTGTAATCCCAGCTACTCGGGAGGCTGAGGCAGGAGAATTGCCTGAACCTGGGAGGTGGAGGTTGCAGTGAGCCGAGATCGCGCCATTGCACTCCAGCCTGGGTAATGAGCGAAACTCCGTCTCAAAAAAAAAAAGAAAAGAAGCCTTAGCCTCCTAAAGTACAGGGATTACGGTTGTGAGCCACTGCACCTGACCCTCTTTCTTTCTTTTCTCCTTTCTGGCTATCTGCTTCTTAATCATTCTTATTTTTCTTCTGGTTTCTCTTGCATGTTCTTAGCCAAGCACCCTTACTCTATTGTTGAACCTGTTTATTAGTTAGCGAAATATACAACCAAGATTAGTGTATAAGCATGGAGAGGGGAAGATATACTAGGGAACAAATTGATTACAATGTGATAAATTGTAGAAAGTGTTTTATTTTCATTGACCTTCTAACTGAGAGGTGACAGAAAGAAAAAAGGGCCAGGCCGATATGATGGAAAGGCAGTGGATTAGATGTGTTCTCATTTCCACCCTGGCACACATTGGCAGTGTGAAGTTGGAGTAATACTTTCTCGATTCTCAGTTTTGCCATCAGTAAAATATCTTGTGTTATCTACGTCAGTGAATGGCATAACTCTGTCCACTCACCTGAGGCAGAATCCTTGGAGTATTAACTCGATTTTATCTCTTACTCCCCATCAACTGAGATTTCTCAATTTCATCTTTTCAACAACTCCTGTCTTTTCTTCCTTTCCTTTTTAACTGCTGCTGACCTAGTCTACATACTTATCCTCACCTAGAATACTGTAGCAGCCACCTGTTTAAATATCGAATCTCTCCAGTCCATTTCTCCACTAGTGATTTTTTGTTTGTTTACGTTGGCTAGTTACCAGGGTTTTCTTTCTTTTTTTATTATGGTAAAATACATATAACATAAAATTTACCATTTTAACTATCTTAAAATGTACAATTCAATGGCATTTACTATACTCAATATTGTGCAACTATTTTCAAAAACATTTTTATCACTCCAAATGGAACACCTGCACTATTCCCAATTCTCTCTTCCCTCTTCATTAGTGTTTTATTTTGTTTCTTTTGTGGGTACATATATGTATATTTGAGACAGAGTCTTGCTCTGTCACCCAGGCTGGAGTGCAGTAGTGGGCTTTCGGCTCACTGCAGCCTCAGCCTTCTGGGCTCAAATGATCATCCCACCTCAGCCTCCCTGGTGGCTGGTACCACAGGCATATGTCATCATGCTTGGCTAATTTTTATGTTTTTAGTAGAGATAAGGTTTTGCCATGTTGGCAAGGCCAGTCTCCAACTCCTGATCTCAGGTGATCGACCTCCCTTAGTCTCCCAAAGTGTTGGGGTTACAGATGTGAGCCATCATGCCCAACCAGTTTTATTTTTCATACTATGCCAGTTAAATATCCCCTGCTTTCCTGCCACCGCTGAGACAGAGTCTTGCTTTGTCACCCAGGCTGGTGTTGCAATAGCATGATCACAGCTTTCTGCAGCCTCAACCTTCCAGTCTCAAGCAATCTTCCCACCCCAGCCTCCCAAGTATCTAGAACTACAGGCACACATCACCATGCCTGGCTAGCTTTTGGATTTTTTGTAGGGATAGGGTTTCACCGTGTTGCCCAGGCTGGTCTTGAACTCCTGGACTCAAGTAATCTGCCTGCCTTGGCCTCCCAAAGTGCTGAGATTACAGGTGTGAGCCACCATGCCCAGCCAGTTTTATTTTTCATACTACCCTAGTTAATGGCTTCCATTAGTTTTCTTTTTTTTTTTTTTGAGACAGAATCTCACTCTGTCACCCCTTTTACTCTCAGCAAACTTTATATCTTTTTTAAAAAAGATTAAAAACCTTTATTTTTCTTTTCTGAGACAGAGTCTTGCTCTATCACCCAGGCTGGAGTGCAAAGGCACGATTTTGGCTCACTGCAACCTCTGCCTCCTGGGTTCAAGCGATTCTCCTGCCTCAGCCTCCCAACTAACTGGGACTACAGGTGTGTGCCACCACACCCGGCTGATTTTTGTATTTTTAGTAGAGATGGGGTTTCACCATGTTGTCCAGGCCAGTCTCCAACTCCTGATCTCAGGTGATCCGCCCATCTTAGCCTCCCAGAGTGCCAGGATTATAGGCGTGAGCCACTGCACCCAGCCAGTTTTATTTTTCTTTTGTATTTTTTTATTTTTTAACACGGAGTTTCGCTCTTGTTACCAAGGCTGGAGTGCAATGGCGCGATCTCTGCTCACTGCAACCTCCGCCTCCTGGGTTCAGGCAATTCTCCTGCCTCAGCCTCCTGAGTAGCTGGGATTACAGGCACGCGCCACCATGCCCAGCTAATTTTTTGTATTTTTAGTTGAGACAGGGTTTCACCATGTTGACCAGGATGGTCTCGATCTGTTGACCTCGTGATCCACCCGCCTTGGCCTCCCAAAGTGCTGGGATTACAGGCTTGAGCCACCGCGCCCGGCTACCAGTTTTATTTTTCATACTGCCCCAGTTAAATCTCCTTCAATCTCCACACCTGCTGAGACATGGTCTTGCTCTATCACCCAGGCTGGTGTTGCAGTGGCATGATCGTAGCTTACTGCAGCCTCAACCTCCCAGGCTCAAGCGATCTTCCCACTCCAGCCTCCTGAGTAGCTGGTACTACAGGCACACGTCATCACGCCTGGCTAATTTTGAAATTTTTGTAGAGACAGGGTCTCCCTATGTTGTGCAAGCTGGTCCCAAACTCCTGGGCTTAAGCAGTTCTGCTTCGGTGTCCCAGAGTGCTGGGATTACAGGCGTGAGCCATCATACCAGCCTGTATTTCTAAATAAGTATTATGTATGATTGTGTTACTTCTCCACCAGAAAATTTTCACTTGCTCCCATTTTCTGCAGTTTTATTGTTCAGCATAGCACTCAGGATCATCTATGATTATGTGGAGACTATGTTTTCAGCTATATCTGACCCCTCTTTTCACATATATGCTAATACTGGTGGTTATTGAACATTTATGATGTTTTTCATCTTTCTACCTAGAATGCCTTTTTCTTCCCATCCATTATGAGCCTTGTGAGGGTATAGAACTTGTTTCACTCATATTTGAATATTTCATTGCCTAACTCAGTAAGTGTTTATAAAATTGATTATTTTTGGACAGTAAACTTTTGCTATGAAGAGTCAGATAGTAAATATGGATTTGTGGGCTATATGGTTGCAGCTACACAACTAGGTGGTTGTATAAAAGCAGCCAGAGATAGTATGCAAATGAATGAGAAAAGTTTTATGTTCCAATAAAACTTTATTTCTGGACCATGAAATTTGAATTTCATATCATTTTCTTTTCTTTCTTTCTTTTTTTTTTTTTTGAGATGGAGTTTCTTGCTCTGTCACCAGGCTGGGGTATAATGGCACAATCTTGGCCCACTGCACCCTGTAAATTCTGGGTTCAAGCAATTCTCCTGCCTCAGCCTTTCGAGTAGCTGGGATTACAGGTGGCCGCCACCATGCCTGACTAATTTTTTATGTTTTCAGTAGAGACAGAGTTTCACCATGTTGGCCAGGCAGGTCTTGAACTCCTGACCTCAGGTAATCCACCCTCCTTGGCCTCCCAAAGTTGGGATTACAGGCGTGAGCCACTGTGCCCAGCTTTTTTTTTTTTTTTTTGTGAGACAGGGTCTTACTCTGTCACCCAGACTGGAGTACAGTGGTGATCTCAACTCACCACAAACTTTGCCTCCCAGGCTCCAGCAATTCTCCTGCCGCAGCCTCCTGAGTAGCTGGGATTATAGGTGTGCACCACTACTGCCTGGCTAATTTTTATATTTTTAGTAGAGACAAGGTTTCACTGTATTGACCAGGCTGGTCTTGAACTCCTGATCTCAAATGATCCATCCATCTCAGCCTCCCAAAGTTCAGCCTGTTACAAAATATTCTTTGTCTTTGATTTTCTTTTTCCCAACAATTTGAAAATATAAAAACCATGCGTGGCTCACAGGCTGTACAAAAACAGGTAATGAACTACATTTATTTCATGGACTATAGTTTTCCAATCCTTGGCCTATCTGATGTCTAAACTTCTTTGGGCTGGCTGTAGTGGCCAACATGGTAAAACCCCATCCCTACCAAAAATACAAAAAAAATTAGCTGGGAGTTGTGGTGGGTACCTGTCATCCCACTTACTTGGGAAGCTGAGGCAGAAGAATCAGTTGAACACAGGAGCTGGAGGTTGCAGTAAGCCGAGATCATGCCATTGCACTCTAGTCTGGGCGACAAGAGCAAAACTCAGTCTCAAAGAAAAAAAGAGTTCTTTACTGTGCTAGCATTTTAGAAAACAAGATGATACAGGAAATTATAGATGAAGTCTAGGGATGCACAAAATAATACTCACTTCTGAGATAATATGCAACGTAACCTGCAGTATAACAGAGACTCATGGAATGAAGGGATAAAAAAGAAGGGGTAACCTTTTTAGAAGAATAATTATACCTGGACACAAACATTCCTTTATCTGAAAGATGAGAATGTTAACATACACAACTGTGAATGACTTGTAGCCAGTTGGGGTCATTTAACAAATCAGATAAATGATTGAATGAAGGGAAAAACTGTTTGATTTCAGAGAGACTGGGCCTGAGTGATTTGGAAAGATGGAGGTGATTCTTCAACAACTGTAGCCTTAGAATCCTCTGATAAACTATCAGTAATGCAAATCTGTTTTGTATGGCACCTTAGGAAATAATACAAAGTGAGTGTGTTGTTTGTTTCTCTCTCACAGCAGGAGTGCTGTGGCGTGATCCCAGCTCACTGCAACCTCCACCTCTTGGGTTCAAGTGATTCTCCTGCCTCCTACTCCAGCCTCCTGAGTAGCTGGGACTATGGGTGTGTGCCAGTACGCCTGGCTAATTTTTTGTATTTTTAATAGAGATGGAGTTCACCATGTTAGCCAGGATGGTCTCCATCTCCTGACCTCATGATCCACCCACTTTGGCCTCCCAAAGTGCTGGATTGCAGGCATGAGCCACCGTGCCCAGCCTTTCTTACTTTTAAAAAATGTGAGCAAGTGGTTTGTGATAGTGAAGGTTCTCAAACAGGAATTACACATTGCTACTGTTTTACTTTGTACTTCATGTTCAGAGGCAGTGTTGAACATAATATATTCTTGTATTTCAGACTATGGGCCTGCTATTCCTATGTACCAAAACTCTTTGTGACATACTGCTACTTTCCTTTTTCATTTACCAATAGGAGATGTTAAACACATCTAAGAAAACAGCTTCTTGTTTTGTGAACTTCTCCAGATTACAGCAGATCACAAATATTCAAGCTGAAATCTACCAGGTAAATCATGTTGAACTTTTCACTTTCTATGTCTAGTATAGGAAAACAAAAGCAAAAACTGGCCATGTGTAGAGGCTTACATCTGTAATCCTCGCACTTTTGGTGGCCAAGCTGGGATGATTGCTTGAACCCAGGAATTTGATACCAGTGTGGGCAAAATAGGGAGATCTCATCTGAAAAAATTTAAAAAGTAAGCAGACATGGTGGCACAAACCTGTAGTCCCAGCTACTTGGGAGGCTGAGTTGTGAGGATCACTTGAGCCTGAGATGTTGAGGCTGCATTTAGCCATGTTTGCACCACTGCACTCCAGCCTGGGTGACAGAGGGAGACCCTATATCAGAAATAAAAAAAACTTTATTGGTTCTAACAGCAATTCCTTTGAACTTAGAACAGTGTCTAGCACATAACTAGGTAGCTACATGTTTACTTAATAATAGTAGTAACAGTAGTAGTAGTAATAACAGTAGCGGTAGCAGGGCAAGAACAGCAAAATAAAAACTTCAGTAAGTCCCCTGGACTATTTTTTTTTTTTTTTTTTTTTTTGATACAGTCTTGCTCTCACCCAGACTGGAGTAAGGTGGTGTGATTTCAGCTCACTATAATCTCTACATCCCAGGTTCAAGGGATCCTCATGCTTCAGCTACCCAAGTAGCTGGGATTGCAGGGCCCAGCTAATTTTTGTATTTTTAGTAGAGATGGGGTTTTGCCATGTTGGTCAGGCTGGTCTCAAATTCCTGGTCTCAGGTGATCCACCCACCTTGGCCTCTCAGAGTGGTGGAATTACATGTGTGAGCCACTGTACCCATCCGTCCCTGGGCCCTTATAACAAATTATACTTCCATCCTACTTAAGGAATATACTTAAAGCATAGTCCTAGGTTAAACTATCCATTTTTGCCAAAGTTTAAGGCTGAAGTTTAACTTCAGGATACTTTCTGAGTGAGCTAAATGTTACTTTTGTTCCTTATGTAGAAAAACCTGGAAATTGAACTCCTGAAACTAGAAAAAGATACAGCAGATGTTGTTCATCCTTTCTTTTTGGGTAAGTGGTCTGGTTAGGTGGATAATCACTTGAATTTCAACTTTTTCTTGGATTACTGTAAATAAGCACCAGTCAAATTATGATACACCATCATTCTTCCAGGTGTTGTCCCAAAGCTAACAAAGTCTTCTGTTTCTGTGCTGAAATAGAAGTTCTGTTGACTTGAGTAGTACAGATAGCATAAAAAGTGACCAAACTGGCTTCTCAAAGTCAGGAGAACTTGAAAGACAAAGTCTGAGGAACGGAAAGCAAAGCACACTGCCATGTGTGTACCTACGCAACTGTCTTGCATGCTCTGCTCATGTACCCCAAAACCTAAAATCCAATAAAAAATTAAAAAAAAAAAAAAGTCTGAGGAACTTTTCAGATTAAAGGAGACTAAAGGGGCATGACCTAAAGCACTATATGATCATGGATTCAATTTTTTTTTTTAATGTGTTGGGGTCTTCTTACATTGCCTGGGATGGTCTTGAATGGCTCAAGCAATCCTCCCAACTCAGCCTCCCAAGTAGCTGGGATCACAGGTGCATACCACCACAGCTGGGAATGTATTGAATATTTGATGAGAAAATTTTCTTGTGTCCAGGTGTGGAGATTCATGCCTGTAAACCCAGGACTTTGGGAGGCCAAGGTGGGTGGATTACTTGAGCTTGGGAGTTCAAGACCAGTCTGGGCCACATGGTGAAAACCCATCTCTACAAAAAAGTACAAAAATTAGCCAGGCATTGTAGCTTGTGCCTATAGTACCAGTTACATGAAAGGCTGAGGCAGGAGGATTGCTTGAGCCTGGGAGGTTGAGGCTGCAGTGAGCTGTGATTGTAGCACAGCATTCCAGCTTGGGTGACAGAGTGAGATCCTGTCTCAAAAAAAATCAAGATATTTTTTTTTTGCCATAAAGGACATTATTGGGATACTTAGAGATTTTTAAATATGGGCTGTATTAAGTGTTGGTAGTATTGTATCAATGTTAAATTTTTTGAATTTGATAATGTGCTGTAGTTACATAGCAGAATATTCCTGTTCTTGGGAAATACATGCAAACATTTTACAGGTAAAAAATATCATGCTGTATGCAGCCTACTCTCAAATGGGTCAGCAAAAATTAAGAGAAAGAGAAAGAGTGTATGTGTGTATATATATAGAGAGAGAAAGATAGAAATAAAATGTAGCCAAATGTTAACAGTCGATGAATATAGGTAAAATGTATATGGGAGTTTTTGAAAGTTTTCTGCAAATCTGAATTTTTTTTTAAGTAAAAATTTTAAAGAAAGATCAATTGGCAGCCATTAACTGAATGGGGAAAATAATGAGATAATCAGAAATAGCTTGTAAGATGACTTTTTTTTTTTTTTTTAAAGAGTTTGTTACCCATGCGGGAATACAGGTCACTAACTTCCACACCTGGATTCAACTGATTCTCTCAAGTAGCTAGTACTACTGGCATATGCCACCATGCCCAGCTAAAAAAAAAAAAAAATTTTTTTCCATTTTTTTGTAGAGATGAGGTCTTGCTATGTTGCCCAGGCTGGTCCAAACTCCTGGCCTCAATCCTCCTGCTTCAGTCTCCCAAAGCACTGCAAATACAGGTATGAGCTAGCGCACCAGCTAAGGTGACTTTTTTTCTATGGTCTGTTATAGACTACCAGAGTCAGGGATAGGAAAAAATATGTTGTGTGAAGAATGTAGCTCTGGCTATAAGAACTGAATAAGAGGTAGAGATGAGAAACACAGAAAGAATTTAGCATTAGATATAGTTACCACTAGGAAAAGAGGTAGTAGAAATATATTAGACGAACAAAAACCAACTAAGAGGAAGTTGTTGAAAATGAAATTGGTATTAAAGTTAGCAAAGAGGAAACATTTAGGAGGGTAATGATGGGATAAATTTTTGACATTGGTAGTGTCAAACCAAGGCAAAGAAGAAATTATTGGTGATTCTGTTATCTGTCCTATTGCTAACTGTAATTACTATTTTTAATTTGTATAGCTCAGAAGTGTCATACTCTGCAAAGCATGAATAATCATTTGGAAGCAGTGCTGAAAGAGAAGAGATCCCTTAGGCAAAGACTGTTGAAACCCATGTGCCAGGAGAACTTACCTATTGAAGCTGTTTATCACAGGTTAGACTGAAAAGTAGACATTAACAGTTACACCTGTTTTCTGAGTTTAGTTTTTGTTTAGCACTTACTTTGTAGCAGAATTCATAAGACAATTAGTGATTGTATTTGGCTTTTTTTGTTTGTTTTTTTGAGACAGAATATCTTGCTCTGTCACCCAGGCTGGAGTGCAGTGGCACAATCTCGGCTCACTTCAACCTCTGCCTCCCAGGTTCAAGCACCCCCCCTGCTCCAGCCTCCTGCATAGCTGGGACTACAGTTGCACACCACACCCGGCTAATTTTTAGTAGAGATGGGCTTTTACCATGTTGGCCAGTCTGGTCTCGAACTCTTGACCTCGTGATCCACCCACCTCTGCCTCCCAGAGTGCTAGGATTACAGGCATGAGCCACTGCACCCAGCATGATTGTATTTGTTAACATTAGTGTTGATATATTATACCAGAAAGAAAATCTTTGCTTTTAAACAATTATACCTATGGCAAAAACAAAGAACTTCCTTTTCACCATTGGAAATTATAAATTATGACTTTAATGAAAGAAATTAGATCCATAACATGTAACAATAAAAATTGTTTGTATGTGAAGTAAATTCATTGTTGAGTTAATGTTGCCCATATGTAAAAATTCTGTTGAGGGTGTTTAACTCGGGCAGATGAAAACACGTCAACTAAGGGAGGAAAAAAAGCTGAATTCTTTTCTCGTCTCTACTGTTGACAGGCCTCAAAGCCTTGAGCAAATTATTTAAATTTTTGCCTTCGTTTCCCAGTAAATAGAATGGAGATGACTTCTATTGACCTCTTCCTCACAGAGTGTTACAAGTATCAAATTGAAGATATAGGTTATTTCTAATGATAAATACCAGCCTGGGCACCATGGCGAGACTCCATTTCTACAAAAAAAAAAAAAAAAAAATCATCTGCTCATGATGGCTCACACCTGTATTCTTAGCTACCTGAGAGGCTGAGCTGGGAGGATGACCTGAGCCCAGGAGGTCAAGTCTGCAGTGAGCTGTGATCGCACCAGCCTGGATGACAGAGCGAGACCCTATCTCAAATAAATAAATAAGCAAGCATTTGGGAATCTGATTGTTAACTTTCTCAACCAGTGCCTCACTAGCTTAAACAAACCAGTATCTTCTCTTAAGTGTCAGATTTTTTATTTTGTAGGAAAATAATAGATATACAAAAACTTAGTCTTCAAAACAAAAAACAAACACGGCTGGGCACAGTGGCTCACGCCTGTAATCCCAACACTTTGGGAGACTTGAGGCGGGCATATCACTTGAGGCCAGGAGTTCAAGACCAGCCTGGCCAACATGGCGAAACTCCATCTCTACCAAAAAAATACATAATATGCTGGGCATGGTGGCACATGCCTGTAATCCCAGCTACTGGGGAGGCAGAGGCAGAAGAATCACTTGAACCTGGGAGGTGGAGGTTGCTGTGAGCTGAAATCACGCCACTGCACTCCAGCTTGAGAGACAAGGTGAAAAAACCCTCTCTTGTGACTATATTCAGTATCTATTCAGTACATTATCATTACCCTTGATGTATATATTGTACTACATCTCAGAACTGGGCAATGATTTGAAAGCATTTTGCAAATGCAGAGATTCAAAGTAGCTATATGTAGGTTTTTTCAATGAAATACATTTATCCTTACTGTCTTCATTCTTCACAGAAAATGAGTAGGTTGAAATGGAATGAGGCTGGGTGCCATGGCTCATGGCTGTAATTCCAGTAGTTTGGGAGGCCAAGGTGGGTGAATCACTTGAGACTAGGAGTTCAAGACCAGCCTGGCCAAGATGACGAAACCCTGTTTCTTCTAAAAATATAAAAATTAGCTGGGCATCGTGATGCATGCCTGTAATCTCAGTTACTCAGGAGGCTGAGGCACAAGAATCTCTTGAACCCAGGAGACGGAGGTTACAGTGAGCCCAGACTGTGGCACTGCACTCCAGCCTGGGTGACAGAGTGAGACTCTGTCTGAAAAACAAAAACAGAAAACAAGAAATGGAATGAGGAATGGGGTTTTATCTAGGGAAATTTCTTATATGAGAAAATGATTAAGATTAATATTGAGGTTTTTCCAACATTAAGTTGGGTTCCAGATATGGTTACTGTTGTCTCTTTCCATTTTTTTATTTGACAAGTTATATGACAAGTTAAGTTGCTTAAAGTGAAAGAGAAGGACCTTTTTTTAATCACTACTATTTCCATGAATACAGGAAGGTTGTTATTGGCTCATTAGGTTGATTGTAAATCTTTACTTTCTTTTTTTTTCTTCTTTATACTCATCAAGCACAGACCTACATTCTAAATTGTAATTCTCATCTCAAATTAAAAGTCCTGATGAAAAGAAAAGGAATACAAAACAAACTTTAAAAATGTTAACTTTTTTCTCTCTCTTTCAGATATATGGTACATTTACTGGAGTTTGCTGTGACTTTCATTGAGAGATTAGAAACCCACCTTGAAACAATTAGAAATATTCCTCATTTAGCTGCAAATCTAAAGAAAATGGTGAGTATTAATATAGCTGTCTTTAGTTATTTTATGCTAGAATCTCAGAGCGTGCTCTTTTAGTTTAGCTTTTTGATAGCTAATATTATGAGCTAGTTTTTTTGTTTGTTTGTTTGTTTTTGTTTTTTGAGACAGAGTCTTGCTCTATTGCCTAGGCTGGAGTGCAGTGGCACGATGGGCTCACTGCCATCTCCACCTCCTGGGTTTAAGTAATTAGGGAAAAGTAGCTGGGATTACAGGTGCCTGCCACCATGCCCAGCTAATTTTTTAGTAGAGATGGGGTTTCAGCATCTTGGCCAGGCTGATCTTGAACTCCTGGCCTCATGATCCATTTGCTTCGGCCTCCCAGATTGCTGGGATTAAAGTTGTGAGCCACTGGAGCTAGTTATTTTTTAAACCAAGGAGTGTTTTCTTGGCTGGAGTGGTGGCTCACATCTGTAATCCCAGCACTTTGGGAGGCCGAGGCAGGTGGATCACCTAAGGTCAGAAGTTTGAGGCTAGCCTGGCCAACATGGCAAAACTCTGTCTCTACTGAAAATACAAAAATTAGCCAGGTATGGTGATGCATGCCTGTAATCTCAGCTACTTGGGAGGCTGAAGAAGGAGAATTGCTGGAACTTGGGAGGCAGAGGTTGCAATGGGCCAAGATCCTGCTACTGCAGTCCATCCTGGGCAAGATTCTGTCTCAAAAAAAAGAAGAAGAAAAAAAAAGGAAGTGTTTTCTTATTTATTTATTTAGAGCTTGGATTTAACATATTCTTTTTTACAAAATTTTTCCCATTTTCAATTCTTTTATTCCAACATTTAATAAATATGTGTTACCTTCACTGTGCCATGGCTATGTTATATGTATTGTGAAAGAGATATGACCAATCCCTGCCTTGAAATTGTCAATGTTTGGTGAGACAGCTATAAAATATATATTTTCTACTCTATAGGATTGTATTTGCATAATAAATACAGCAAAGAATTATAAAGAAATGCTATTTAGGGGTCCAAAGTGGCTCCCGCCGGAGGTCATGGCACTCGCAAAGGTGAGGTCATCAGTTCAAGGCTAACCTCATAAGCTCAAACTGATTGGCAAAAAAAAAAAAAAAAAAAGAAATGCTATTTATCCAGCATAGAAGAGGGAGGTATTACTTCTGATTTAGGAGGATTGGGAGTAGGATAGGGGTAGGAAGACTTAAATAAAGATTTTTTGTTTTGTTTTTCTCATTATTTCCAGGTCTCTTGGCATTTTGATTGGTTTTGTTTTTTTAAATAGAGATGAGTTCTATGTTGCCAATGCTGATTTCTAACTCCTAAGTTCAAGTGAGGCACCCCCCTCAGCCTCTAAAAGTGCTGAGATCACAGGCATAAGCCACCACGTACGGATTCAATAAAGTTTTATTTAGGTGTTAGCAGTAAGCCAATTTTTTTTCCCTGAGCTACAGTTTTATTCTTGTTGCCCAGGCTGGAGTGCAGTGGCACAATCTCAGCTCACTGCAACCTCCGCCACTTGGGTTCAAGCGATTCTCCTGCGTCAGTCTCTCAAGTAGCTGGGATTACAGGTGCCTGCAACCACACCTGGCTAATATTTTGTATTTTTAGTGGAGACAGAGGGTTTATCACTTTGGCCAGGCTGGTCTCGAACTCCTGACTTCAGGTGATCAACCTACCTCAGCCTCCCAAAGTGCTGGGTTTACAGGTGTGAGCCACCATGCCTGGCCAACGTAAGCTGACTCTTAAAGAATAGGTGAAAATCAGACATGAGTCAGAAAGAATAGTTTGGCCAAAAGGAACAATTGGGGAAAGACATATAAGTCAAAGAACCCAGGTAGTATGGTGCCTTAATCATGGAGAAAATATTGGGAAGAGTAGTCTGAGCCTTGCTACTCTTAAGTATGGGCAGAAAGTATCTGCATCACCTGCAAACTTCTTAGAAATACAGAACTGCAGACATCATTCACACTAGGGCTTCAGAATCAGAATCTACGGTTTAACAAGTTCCTCAGGTGATTCCTGTGCACATTAAAGGTTAATCAGCTCTGGGTTAGAAGACTAGGCAGAGAAACCTGGAGACTAATTACAGTGATTCAGTTAAAAGATTTAAAGTATAAAAATACGGAAGATAAGCTTTGCACAGTGGCAGTATCATAAGCCAATGAGGTTTATCCAAGGCGCGATTATTGCTAATTGAAAACTTTTCCCAATACCCCGCCATGACAACTTGCAATACAGTCAACACTGGCAATTTTATACAAATTGTTTAGATTTTGGAGGTCAAATTTTTAGAACTTGGCTATGAATTGGACAAGGGACACATTAAAGGTAATGAAGTTTCTAGTTGGGTGACTTGAAGGTGAGTAGGATTAGTGTGGGTTAAAGAAGTTAGTAAGTTTATTTTTTGACACATCTAGCATATGTAGTAAATGGTCAATTATTGTTGAACTGTAGTTAAATTGTGTTTGAGATGTTGAAGGTACAACCAGATGGAGATTACCAGTAGTCTTAAACGTGGGCCTGAATTTTAGGAAGGATGTTGCATTTAGCCATGTAAATTGAGAGTCATCTGCATTGAGTGATTATTGATGACAGAAGAGGTGAACTCACAAAGAGTAGGTTTGTACTGTAAGAAGTGGGAAAACACAATTTTAAGGAGCTTTTGAAGTAAGGGGCTGGAAGAAGATCAGGTGTTAACCTTTGGTATCAATTATTCATGATATAATGAATTAATAACAGACATAATTTCTCCTATTTCCCTTTTCAAATGTTACAGAGCAAGGCTTTAGCAAAGATGGATATTTTGGTGACTGAGACAGAAGAATTGGCAGAGAATATACTCAAGTGGCGTAAACAACAAAAGGAAGTTTGCTCTTATATCCCCAAAATATTAGCTGAAGAAAATTATCTTTATACACATGATATTATAATGCCTCCTTTTCCTTTTACTTCTAATGTTCATGTCCAAACTGTTAATGCCAAGTAATCATCAACTTCATTTTTGCTTAATTATGAGTAGTCATATGAAGTCTATTTTGAATTGACTATATAACATGGTTATTAATAGTCTTTGCTGCTAGTAATACTGAAAGAACCTGCTTTATATTAGAGTATCAAGATCTCAGGTTCATTAAGACCAAACTGACTTTTCTTTTGTTTTTCATATATTTTCATTCTACTTTTCAGTACAACTAGAGAAGATTAAAAAATAGCCATGACAATTTATTAACATAAGTGAATTAACCATTTCTCAGGCAGAAAATTCTCTATTATGTCTGTTTTAAAAAATGTGTGTTTATAGCAGGGTGTGATGGCTCACACCTGCAATCCTAATAAGTTGGGAGACTGAGGTGGACAGATGGCTTGAACCCTGGAGTTCAAGTCCAACCGGGGTAACGTGATGAAATCCCATATCTACAAAATATACAAAAAATTAGCCGAGCATGGTGGTGCATGCCAGTAGTCCCAGCTATTCGGGAGGCTGAGGTAGGAGGATCACCTAAGCCTGGGAGTGCATGGTTGCAATGAGAATGATCACACCACTACAGTATAGCCTAGGTAACACAGAAAGACCCCCATTTCAAAAAAAAAAAAATGTGTTTCTGGCCAGGGTCATTGGCTTACACCTGTAATCCCAGCACTTAGGGAGGCCAAGGTGGGTGGATCACCTGAGGTCAGGAGTTTGAGATCAGCCTAGCCAACATGGTGAAACACCATCTCTACTAAAGATACAAAATTTAGGCCAGGCGTGGTGGCTCATGCCTGTAATCCCAGCACATTGGGAGGCCAGCCCAGGTGGGTGGATCACCTGAGGTCAGGAGTTCGAGACCAACCTGGACAACATGGTGAAACCCTGTCTACTAAAAATACAAAAAAATCAGCCGGGCATGGTGGTGGATGCCTGTAATCCCAGCTACTTGGGAGGCTGAGGCAGAAGAATTGCTAGAATCTGGGAGGCAGAGGTTGCAGTGAGCTGAGATGGCACCACTGCACTCCAGCCTGGGCAGCAGAGCAAGACTCAGTCTTCAAAAAAATAAAAAATTAATACAAAGCACAAGAATTACCTGGGCGTGGTGGCATGCAACTGCAATCTCAGCTACTCAGAAAGCTGAGGCAGGAAAATCACTTGAACCTGGGTGATGAAGATTTCAGTGAGCCCAGATTGCACCACTGCACTCCAGCGTGGGCAACAAAGTGAGACTCTGTCTCAAAAAACAAACAAAAAACAGGTGTTTCTGAATTAGAATGGTCTTCTTGAATCTAAAAATGTCTATGGTGATTGTTCCTGTGGGAGTGTCACTAAGTATGCAGAAAAGAGTAACAGCCAGCCTGACTTATCCTTTGAAAGGCCTTATTGATTATAAGGTTCATCCTTGGCTGTTGCATCTGGGAACTTAGATATCAAAAGATGTCTTAGTCTTTTCTGCTCTCATAACACAATTACACAGACTAGGTAGTTTATAATGAACAGAAGTTTATTAGGCAGTCCAAGAACATGGTACCAGCATCTAGCGTGGGTCTTGCCATGACAAAAGGCATCACATGGCAAGTGAGCACGAGAAAGATATATGGGGCTAAATTTAGCCTTTTATCCTGAGCCCACTCCTGAGATAGCAACACTAATTCATTAATGACGGCCAAGCCCTCCTTACCTAATCACCTTTTAAAGGTCTCTTAACACTTTTACAATGTCAATTTAATTTACAGCACTTTAGTTCGGGTGACATATTTAAACCTTAGCAGGAGGGCTTCACTCACTAAAAAGAGTGGCTCATGGTAACTAAGCTGTTTGTACAATGTGGTTTGTGCTGAACACCTGCTTTCCTCCTGGGAGTCTACAGTTTTGGTACATGGTAGGTAGAAGGTACCTAAGTGACCAGCCCCCAATAAAAACCCTGGGCACTCTCTCTCTAACAAGCTTCCCTGGTAAACAACATTTCTTACGTGTTGTTACAATTCAGTTGCTGGTGAAATGAAACAACACATATGTGTGACTCCACGGTTAGAGGACTCTGGGAGCTTGTGCCTGGTGTCCCCCAGACTTTGCCTCTGTACCTTTCTCTTTCCTGTTTCGCTTCATATGCTTTTGCTGTAATAAATCATAGATGCATGATGCTATGCTGAGTCCTGTGAATTCTACCTGGAAATCATGAGATCTGGAGGTAGTCTTGGAGATCCTGGCACACTAAGCAGAGTTCCTGACTGTTTACTGGCAGCTGCAGGAATAGGCAAAGAAGAAACTGCAAAGAAAAAGGCACATTGTGGTAACTTTGGAGGTTTATCTTTCAGATATTTTACCTATCTGAGGTTACTGTGTATATAATAGAGTGTGATATACTAACAACTGCCTCAGGATATACTCATTTTTTATCAGTATTGTAACTATCCCTGGCTTATTTTACTTTTAGAGTTGGGGTTTTGTTTTGCTTTAAAATGAGTACATCAGTTTTGTTTTTATCTTTTTTTCTTTTTTCTAAGACAGGATCTCACCTGTCACCCAGACTGCTGGAGTGTGGTATGGCCTAATCTCGGCTCACAGCAGGCTTGACCTCTCAGGCTCAAGTGATCCTTCTACCGCAGCCTCCCAAGTAGCTGGGACTATAGGCACACGCCACCATGCCTGGCTGATTTTTGAATTTTCTGTAGAGACGGGATTTCGCTGTGTTGTCAAGGCTGGTCTCGAACTCCTAGTTTGAAACAATCCTCCCACCTCAGCCTCCCAAAGTGCTGGGAGTACAGGTGTGAGCCACCATGCCTGGTCTCATCACACCCCTTGACACAAGAAGACTTCAACAATGATGAGTAAAGTGGTTGTTTATAAGGAAGCAGGCGGATTACCAAAATAAATCCTGCTAAAACACCAGGTATCATGTTTTAAAGCCTACTTTGCTAATTTTACCTGATAGGGTAAGAGTGGTCGTAATATCATGAACATTACATAGACACTTCCGTAAAGCCTTTGGTTATATTTCATCAAAAACCTGTTCATACCCCACTTTGGTTTTAAAACATCTTACTGTGCTTCTTCTTCATGTTATTTCCTATATTCATTTGTATGTGTGTATATCACAAATACTGATATGCCTGGTTATTTTTGTTTTCCATTATATCTTTTTCAAAATGTAAAAATAAACCTGTAATTTCTAACTAAAATTTTGTAGCCCCAGTCTGAATCTAAAGTGATAGAATGATCTGATGCACTCTGTAGCTTATACAGTATAGGCATGCAGGCAATCTGAATCAAAAGAGCTTGAGGTAAGTTAAGCCTGAGGTCTACTTCAAAGGAAAAAGTTAATTTAATACCCTTCCAGAGTCAATCAGTGCTGATTAATTTTTCTTTAATTATTTTTCTTTAACTTTTATATAGGTAGATACTAAAAACAAAAAATTAGCTTTGTGTGTCTTTTTTTTTTTTTTTGAGATGGTCTTGCTCTTACCCAAGCTGGAGTGCAGTGGCACAATCACAGCTCACTGCATTCTCAACCTCCTGGGCTCAGTAGATCCCTACATCTCAGCCTCCCAAGTAGCTGGGAATACAACTGTGCCCCACCACACCCAGCTAATTAAACATTTTTTTTTGTAGAGATGGGGTCTTGCCATGTTGCCCAGGCTGTTCTTGAACTCCTGGGTTCAAGTGATCTTAGCCTCCCAAAGTGCTGGGATTATGGGTGTGAGCCCCTTGCATCCAGCCTACCTACTTACACTAGGAGAGGTGTGTGAAATTTGAAAATTTACTGCCAGCATAATAGAGATGCCAGTTTGTGAAGACCATTCTGAAGGAATTGAGATGCTGCTAGTTTTCCTAGCATTTCTCTTATTTTATTTCTTTCTCTGTGTAACTACCAGTCTGACCCCTATTATATCCTCTGAAACCTTCAATGAAGTCAGGAAGATAGTCTGAGGAATAGCAGAACCTAAAAGATTTCTTGACATGCAAAATCTATAATAGAGTTGAGATTTTAATAAGACTGTCATTAGTGTATTGTGGGATTTCTTCACATATCAGTAAAACACATGAATTTACATGAAAGATTTATCCCACAGTCTGGGGAATCCTCTAATTGAGTTTACTGAAAAAATTATACGTTTGACTCCTGAGCAACTTTTCTCCAATAACTATGCTACAGATAGCCATAAGCAAACAGTAGCAACAGACTCTCCTGAAGGACTTACAGAAAATAAAGAGCAAGATTCTGTAGATGAGAAAATTACTTTCCCTTCTGACATTAATCCTCAAGTTTTCTATGAACTACCAGAAGTAGTACAAAAGGAACTGCTGGCAGAGTGGAAGAGAACAGGATCAGATTTCCACATTGGACATAAATAAGCATATTCAGCAAAAAGTTCTGAAAAGCAAGGGAATACCATTATTTTTGGATTAGTGGTTTATTAAGCTCTTCTATATTAAACACTAATAAATATTCAATAATGGAGTAAACTGTTCCAGATAAAGCAGGAATAGTTACAGGAAGTAAATTCTGGCACAAAGCATAAAAATATTTATAACAAAAAATGTAAAATGCTATCTTCTATGTCTAAAGCCATTTTATGTTGCTTTTCAATAAAAAGAATATCATGGTCGTCAACAACAACAAAAAACTTTGAAGCGCACAGGAATATGCAATTTTTAAAAATAAATATATTGGAAATTTGGAACTAAGTGAGTTGAAAAATTCACAGATGAACTGTGGCCTACAGATATCAAAAAAATTAAAGGGTATGAATGCATAAAATATATGTAAATACTAGTCTTTTATCATTTACTACCACAAAATACACAAATCTATTAAAAGTTAAACTTTATGAAAACATACAGACTACATGTAAACAAATTTAAAATGCAGTATTAAAGCATAACTATAAAGTTAACTAATACATACTGTACTACTGTAATAATTTTGTAATTGCCTCCTGTTGCTGTTTTAGTGAGTGAAGTGTTGCCAGTATCTGCTTAAAACCCTGTGATGCTAATCATCCAAGTAGTTCCTCTCTTCAGTAGACTGTATCACAATAAAAAGTGATCTCTTGAGGTTCTCAAGTGTTTTTTACCATATTCAGTGCAATACCATGAGCCTTGAATAATATCAGGGGACCAGTATAAAGTGCCAGTAGTGATGCTGCACATGCTCCCAAGAAGTAGAGAAAGTCATGACATTACAAGAAGAAGTTGAATTGCTTGATTTGTACTGTAGATTGAAGTCTGCAGCTGTGGTTGCATACATTACAAGATAAATGAATTCATTGTAAAATTAAAAAAAATTGTGCAGCCATTACCACAGCTAAACCGGCAAGCACAAAAACTGTGCACTTTTTGTGAAATATGTTGTTAATAGTTTAATTTTAGTAGAGACAAGGTCCCACCATTTTGTCCAGGCTGGTCTCAAACTACTGAGCTCAAGCAATCCTCCTACCCCGGCCTCCCAAAGTGCTGGGATTACAGGTGTGAGCCACTGTGCCCGGCCCTGAAATATCTTTTTATCTTGTATTGAAAATGCAGCTTTTGGCCAGGCATGGTGGCTCACGCCTGTAATCCCAAAACTTTGGGAGGCCAAGGTGGGTGGATCACCTAAGGTCAGGAGTTCAAGACCAGCCTAGCCAACATGGTGAAACCCCATCTCTACTAAAAATATAAAAATTAGCTGGGCATCATGGTGCACACCTGTAATCTGAGCTACTCGGGAGGCTCCAAGCAGAAGAATTGCTTGAACCCAGGAGGCAGAGGTTGCAGTGAGTCGAGATCATGCCACTGCACTTCAGCCTGGGCAACAGAGCAAAACTCCATCTGAAAAAAAAAAAGGGAAAGAAAGAAAATGCAGCTTTTACGTGGGTACAGGATTGCTGTAAGAAAAACATACCTTGCCAGGTGCAGTCTGAAGCCTGTAATCCCAGCACTTTGGCAGGCTGAGGCAGACAGATGACCTGAGGTCAGGAGTTTGAGACCAGTCTGGCCAACATGGTGAAACCCTATTTCTACTAAAAGTATAAAAAATTCGCTGGGCGTGGTAGTGTGCACCTGTAATCCCAGCTACTTGAGAGCCTGAGGCAGGGCAATTGCTTGAACCAGGAAGGTGGAGGTTGTAGTGAGCCAAGGTGGTGCAACTGTACTCCAGTCTGGGTGACAGAGTGAGATTCCATCTCAAAAAAAAAAAAGAAAAGAAAACCATACCTATATACTCTGTATACCTACATACTCTAATATGATTTGAGAAAAAGCAAAGTTATTATATGACAGCTTAAAGCAAAAGGAAGGTGAAGGATCTAAAGCTAAAGAATTTTGCCCCCTGTCTCTCCAAGGAAAACTAGGCCCCTGCTTGGCCACTGCCCAGGATCTGCAAGCTGCATGACCATGAGTTTCAGCACCCATTTGTACTTTCACAATCAGAGATGGCAGCAATGACAGCATCAACATTGAAAGCTCCCAGGCCTTCGTATTCTCATCTGGTATATGCAAGATATTGGCAACATTGTCATCAAACAATGGCTTGGATGCAAAGCCACCAGAATGCCTACAGGAAGGCTGTGGTGTTTCAGTCTTCCATGGTACTTCCCTCCTGCACTTCTTCCCCAAAGCTCTTACAGTAACAAGGCTGTGTATCCTCAGTCTTTCTATGACCATCATGTGGCCTGGCAGGACTCCACCTGCAGTTCACATTTCAGACAGTCTGGGCACCATCCACATGACAGTAGTAGGATCGAGGCATCCACAAGAGAAGACCAAGCTTTGTCCAAAGAGGAAGAGATGGAGACTGAGTCAGATACAGAGGTAGAATGTGACTTGAGCAATATGGAAATCACCGAAGAGCTCCACCAGTACTTTGCAGAGACCGGAAGGCACAGAGAATGACAGAGGCAGCAGCAACTGGATGCGGAGTGCCTGGATGGCTACGTGAACGCTGACCATGACCTGAACTGCAATACCTGCCGGTCAGTAGAGGGCCCAAATGAGAGGCCTGGTGAGTGGCGCCAGGCCAAGATGAAGCATTTGTACAGGGACAGTGCCGCCAAGATCTAGGCCATGAAGGCTACGGTGCAGCTGACTTTTGAAAGCAGCCCAAGTACTGGCCGGTCATCCCTCTGAAGTTTTGAGCTTGGGGCTCAGGGCCCCAAGCCCTGACATGTTCTGTTGCCAACATGGTAAGTTTCCTCCTGACATAAAGAATTTTGTACATATTATACTGGTTTTTTATGTTGTCAGTAACAGTTCAGTTCATTAAAGTTCTTGCCTGGGAAAAAAAAAATTTTTATGCCAGCAAAGGATGGTTTGATAAATTTGGAAAGGATTGTTTTAAAATATGTCAGGATAACAGGAGAAGCAGCTTCTGCTGACCAAGAGGGAGCAGATAAGTTCCTAGAGATCATTAAAGAAATCATGAGAAGAAAGGATATCTGCCTGAACAGGTTTTTGGTGCATACGCAAGTGCCCTATTCTGGAAAAATAAACGCCACAAAGGACATTATTAGTAAGGAACAGAAGCAAGCACCAGGATTTAAGGCAGGATGAGATAGGCTAACTCTAATACCTTGTACAAATGCAGCTGGCTTTATGATTAGCACTGCCCTTATCTATATAGCTGCTAACCCCCAAGCCTTGAAGGGAAAAGATAAACACCAGCTACCTGTCTTTTGGTTGTACAAGAAGACCTGGACAAGAACTCTTTTTCTGGATTGGTTCCATCTATGCTTTGTCCCTGATGTCAGAAAGTACCTTGCCAGTAAGGGACTGCCTTTTATTTTGTTTTAATTTTATTTTTAGATGGGATCTGTCGTCCAGGCTTTAGTACAGTGGCGCAATCTGGGCTCCGTCTCCTGGGTTCAAGTGATTCTCCTCCCTCAGCCTCCGAGTAGCTGGAATTACAAGCGCATGCCGCCACGTCCGGCTAATTTTTGTATTTTCAGTAGAGTCAAGGTTTCACCATGTTGGTCAGGCTGGCAGACTGGTCTCGAACTTCCGACTTCAGGTGATCTGCCCGTCTCAGCCTCCCAAAGTGCTGAGGGATTACAGGCGTGAGCCACCGCGCCTGGCCTGCCTCGAAAATTTAACCATAGAACTGACAGTTCAAGCGAACGCGGCGAATAAAAATATTTAACAAATTACTTGGCAAACTTTCGGACCTTAACCAAAACTTAACTGATTTACTTGACTCTACATAGCACGGACACCGAGTCGAAGAACAAAAACTATTTCTGGGTAAGTGGGGCTGGAACAACAGATTTGGTACTGCGTCTTCGCTGCCCCATCCGTCTCAGGATTGGCTGACGCTGTGCGGGCACCGGAGGCTAAGGGGCGGAGCGAGGCGGGGCGAGCCCGGGCGTCCTCCCGCCCACCGACTGGCAGAGGCTGGGCTGGCACCACCCGGCTCGGGCTGCAGCCCGTGCTTCGGGCGGGGGCGATCCGGGAGACTTCGGGTGGAGCGAGGCGGGGCGGGCACAGGCGTCCTCCCGCCCACCAGGCTAAGAACTGGCTGAGACTCAAGGGGAACCGCCCCGCCCGGGCTGCGGCGCGTGCTTGGGAGAAGGCCAGTCGGCAGGCTTTAAGGAAGATTGAAGGGAGGCGGGGCCGGGAGTTCTCCCGCCCACTGGGCTCAGGATTGGTCGAGGCTCGACAGGCACCGCCCCGCTCGGGCGGCAGCTAGTTTCTGGGCGGGGGCGTCCCCAGAGGCGCGTGGGGCCGGCAGGCGGGCGGGGTCGGCCGGCGGGCGGGCGGAGCCGGGTTGGGGCTGTGGCTGGGGATGCAGCCGCTGAGCTGAGCTGCCAGACTTGGGTTGTGGCAGACAGATGGCGAATGTACGGGTCGCCGTGAGGGTCCGGCCCCTCAGCAAGAGGTAAGTTTGGGCGGGATGGTGCGCCTGAGGCTTCACAGGAGCTGAGACTAGCGCGAAATCCGCGCCTCCGGCTCCAGAGATTGTGGCGCGGAGAAATCGGTCACAAAGTGACCCGGGGGTAGGGGTCCGGAACCCTCGGATGCCTAGCTGGACGGCGCCTCCGTCGAGCTTTCGCGTCGTGCCCTGGGGATAGCGGTTTCCGGACGGCCGCGGGAGTGCTGCCCCGGGTGAGCCTCGCTGGCGTTCTGCCAGCGGGAGTTTCGAGGGACTGTGGTTCTAGGCTTGCTGCATCGTGTTGGGCCTTCTAGAAAAGCTGGGAGAGGGATGGGCATTATCTTCTCTCTTCTTGGGGAGGGGGGTCGGGAGTACCCCTAAGGACTGAGGCAGAATGGTGTGTGTTCCTGGGTGCACATGGGTTTCTCTGCGAAGATGTGGAGAAAGCAGAAAGTGCGGGCATAAGGGGAAATTGAGGCCCACAGAGGTCGCAGTTTTATTCCATGCTGGACAGCTGACGATCCAGGACGGAACTGTGAGGTAGAGGAAGTTGTTCCAAGCCCTAGAGTCCCCAGTGCCCGTTTCCTCGTGGCTTATTCTGATCCCACACCTCTCATCTCAGCCCTTGAGACATCCAATGTCTGGCCACGAACTTTTTGTCACCAGATGAAGTGTTTTTAAAAGATCAGTTAGAGTTTGTTGACAGGTGGAGAAAGTGTAAAGAGCCCTATATGTAGTAAGACCACCAAGAGCAAAGAACTTAGACTGTTAGGGGCTAGAGGTTAAGTTTTAGTGGAGAGGGGGGGTGGTTGGTGTGGAGGGAAGTGAGTGGTGGGAGGTAAATCTGGCAGAATGTGCTTTGGGACCAGAAGGCACATGTTGGAATTATTTGGGAAGTTTAAAAATCTTCAGGACATAAGATGGCTTGATAATTGGGCAGAAGGATCAAGAAAGGCACTGTCTCCCATAATAAAATTTGTCATTAGGGAGGATTACGTTGGTCCTTATATAGAAATGATTGGCTTTGCAAAGTCTTGTAATTGACAGACTAAGGAGGACAATGAGATGGAAAGAAAAAAAGTTAAAGAGAATAGGAAAAAGGCAAAAGAGGTACACTGAAGAAAGAGGAAAAGCAGATGCCTGAACTGCTGTGTTTTGATTGGTAAATGGCTTGTGACACCTGGCTTCTTCATAACCAGATGTGGTAGCTCAG